TATATGTGGTTATTTGTTTCTTCTAGAGGCCCAAACTTTGCAGAAATCAATGTGTTCACACTTTGACATAGTTAATAGTTAGATATGTGTTCCTAGGTTGCAGTAGCTGTTGTCATCAGGCAAGAATTGCTGCAGGCGTGTCAAGATAAGTGCTGTAATGGCTAACTAATCCATAACATGCTTCAGAATTGAGTGAGTGACCAACTAGAAAACATATTGACTGCAAATCTGCTGTCATATGGATTAACTCTAGCAGGCATGGCAAAAAGCTGAACAGTGACATGAAATCCATATTCTTTAACTTCTCTGGCTAACCATTAGGCATTTGTCATAAGAGTCCCGTGTTCTTTTTTAAACACATCAATGAAATCTTGTCACTCAAGCTTAGTAAATTGCAGTCAGTTGAATTTGTCTGTGGAGAGTTATTAGTTTATTTTGCTTTCCCTTTCTTTCAGAACTGTCATGCATGTCCCACTCATTCCATTTCTCAACAACAGCCTTCTTTTTTGCTTTTGTTTGGTTTCAAAACATCCTAACCACCATAGCAACTGCATAGCAACAATTCAGAATACCTTAGCAACTGCCTCACAACACCCTGACAACGAGCCATAGCTCTTTAGCATCACTGCACAGACCAGCACACTGTTTTCCTTATAAAATCTATAAATCCAGTACTGATATGCAATCTGCTAATAGTAATTGTGCAGTCAGTCAGAATAATTAAGTTAATGTTTAGATGAAGGCTCGTTTTCACTCGCTACCTTTCAGTTTCCCCTGAGCTGCAAAGATTTGTTCTTTTTCATACCTCTTTCTCCATCTTTCTCAGTCTTTCTCTCTCCGTCATTACACGGCCATTGTAACAAGCCTTTGACAGTCTGTCAGTGAATTATTTGACTGGAGGGGCAGACAGTATAGCTCAGCTGTCACTTCCTGTAGTTCCGATCAGCAGAGAATCCCCTCCTATTATTCCATTCCCCAAGTCCCAGCGCTCCGACTGCACTCAGAAACGAAGTACTGGCCCTCACCTCACCTTCCACTCACCCTTTTCTATTACAAAATGTACTGGAGCCATACCATGGTGTATCCGAATTTTAGGTAACACTTAGATTAGGGAACACATTCACTATTAACTAAGAGTTTTCCCTCAGTAAACTCCTAATTCGCTGCTTATTGGTATTAAGTAAAGTAGTTGTTGTAGTAGTTGTTTAGGTATCAGTTAGGTTTAAGGGATCAAGAATGTAGTACTGCAGAGTAAGACATTAATATGTGCTTTAGTATTAATTAGTATTAGTGTTAACAGCTAATATGCTAATAATATGCATGCATTAAGCAAATAGTTAATAGTGTATAGTTTTTCCTAATCTAAAGTGTTACTGTATTTTGATATGTACCATGGTACTAAAAATTATTTACCATGGTGTTTACGTGGTCTCTTCTCACCTTTTTCACCAACAAAAAAGTATTAAAATGTACCATGGTCCTACCATATTTCAGAGAAACAGTACTGCTCAAAAGTTTGAGGTTGGTGATTTAAAAAAAAAAAATTTATGTTCATGAAAAAAAGTCTCTCATGCGCACACATTTATTTGATCAAAAATACTGTAAAAACAATAATATTGTTTTTGTTGTAATATTATTAAAATGTAATATTTTTGTGGAAACAATAATAAATTTTTTTCTGCATTCTGCGATGAATAGAAAGTTCAAAAGAACAGCATTAATTTTAATTATAAATTTTTGTACCATTATAAATGTCTTTACTGTCATTTATGATTAGTTTAATGCATCCTTGCTGAATAAAAGGAAATAAATTATTTTGTTTTCCAAATTCCACTGCCGTGTCTTGCATTTTTCAAAGCAAAAACACGTTCTGTGTGATTTGTGAATGCCTTTTAGAATGCAAATCATAAGGGTTTTGATTGCCTTGAGCCAAATTGATATGTGCAATGAAGTGTTGCCAAGGGGATTTTTAACATTTCTGAAGAGTGCCGCTGATAAAGACGTAGTGAAGTTATAAAATAAATGCTAGGAGAGAGACTGCATGCATTGCCTTTTCAAAATGCATTTTCTGATTGATTTTTTCGTGGTGTTTGCTAAAACAGGCTTCATTACTGTTGTTAGGGTCAGTCATTTAAGTCAAGTCAAATCAAGTCATCTTTATTTATATACCGCTTTATACAAATAGTGGCAAAGCAGCTTCAGTGTTAAACAGGAAAATGGTGTTGATAATGTTGGAGGACAACATTAAACAGTCAGTTTTTCAGTTTAAGTGAATTCATTGTTGATTCAGTGATGTCATCATCCAACACAGTTAAGTTCTCTTCAAATTGTTTCTGTGCAATCAAGCTGACAATATTGCCAGAACTTAAGTGTCCCCAACTAAGCAAGCCAAAGGCGAAAGTGGCAAGGAATCAAAACTCCATCGGTGACAGAAATGGAGAAAAAAACCTCTCAGTTGGAGGCCAGTTCTCCTCTGGCCAGACAAAACGAGCATGGTGTTGTTTAATTTCATGCTGCAACACAAGTCAGATTGTGCAGAGAACTCGTCTGGTTCTCGTGGTCTTGTACCGATGGCCGTCTAGTTGACGAGGTCTTCGCAGGGGATCTGTCTCTAGGGCTCATCTAGTTGACATGGTCTCCACTGACATTTAGGGCTGTAGAGGCTGTCTCTAGGTGCTGATCCACCATCTGGTCTGGATACGGACTGGTTCTGGGTGGCTACGGTGACCTCGGAATAAGAATGAAAGAAACTAATATTAGCGTAGATGCCATTCTTCT